ATCGCTACTAATCTTGGATCTAAGTAAATATGTAGCTACGTCACTTATGATTTGATAAATAATGGATTCCAAACTCTGATTATTAAATAAACTATGTTTGTTTAACTTGTATCATGTTTTATTCAACGCTTAGTTTAGTTTAAGCATTGTTTACCATGCTCGAAACAGGTTTCTAGAGTTACACAGCAGCAAGGTATTTTATGCCTAACGTCCATTATGCGTAACGTATATTATGCCTAACGTCCATTATGCCTATCGTCCGTATGCCTAACGTCCGTATGCCTAACGTCCGTATGTCTAACGTATTTATGCCTAATGGGGTACACTCGTGAATATAATTGAAATCCATCAATAAATGGTCAAGTTATAAACGTTTAAAACCTAACACTATTTCTTCAGTCAGTTTTTTCATTTGCACCCGAGGGGGGTGACACATCTAAATCTCAATTTTAGATGCTCAACAAATCTCACACTAGCGAATCAATCTTCGAAAAATCTTCTTTCATTTGTCGCATCTACTTGCATCGCGCATCATCTTTTTGCAGGAAATCTTCAGAATCATCATCAATCTTCTTTCTATCTAAAGGGCGAACACGAAATTATTTCGACACATTCAACAGGGCATAACTTTTTTACCATTGGCTAAAAATCAACCAAATTTTGCACACTTTCTCATTGATGTGTATTGTGTACATGCTGTCAAACTCGAAGTCGTGTTTTCGATTCAACGAAAATGGAGGTGAACCAACGCGAGTTGAGAGAACAAATTCTTTCCAAACACCTGGAATTTCCTGACCTGTCGCACCGGCAGTTGGGAAAAATGTTGAACATTCACCATTCAACCGTCTCCAGAGTGTTGAAGCGGTTCCAGGAGCGGTTGACGTTGGACCACGGCAAAGGAGCTGGAAGAAAACCGGGATCGGAGAACAAAAAAAGGGAGGGAAAGGTGAAGCGGATGATTAAAGCAAATCCCAACGTCTCAAGCCGTGATTTGGCTAAAAAGATCGGCATGTCGCAGAGCTACGTCCAGAATGCAAAGAAGAGAGCTGGACTACATACATACAAGGTACAGAACTTCCCAAACCGCGATAAGTGGCAACAATCGACGGCTAAAACTCGGGCACGGAAGCTCTACGAGAAGATGCTGACAAAATATGGCTGCTGTGTGATGGACGACGAAACGTATATAAAAGCCGATTTTAAGCAAATTCCGGGGTTGGAGTTTTTCACCGGCAAGAGCATGTTCGATGTGGACGACAAATTTAAGAAGAAGAAAATGTCGAAGTTCGCCTACAAATATCTCATTTGGCAGGCCATCTGCTCTTGCGGACTGAGGAGTGAGCCTTTCGTGACAAAGGGCACAGTAAATGGCGAGATCTACAAATCTGAGTGCCTCGAGTAGCGCCTTTTGCCGTTCTTGCAGCAGCTAGACGAAGCTCCGCTATTTTGGCCAGATTTGGCATCATGCCACTATTCTAAAAGTGTCCTGGAGTGGTATGAGGCCAATTCTGTCCATTTTGTTCCAAAGGACATGAATCCGCCAAACTGTCCGGAGCTGCGCCCGGTGTAGCAGTACTGGGCAATAATGAAGCGGGAACTTTGGAAGAGCAAGAAGACAGTCAAAGACGAGAAGGACATGTTAAGAAAATGAAAAAAAAAACTGAGAAACTGGTACCGGATGACTCTGTAAAGACTTTGATGGAGGGCATCAAGCGAAAATGCGTTCAATTTTACACTCAAGGCTCCATCGATTAACTTTTCTTTTGATTTTTGAACATTATCTCGATACGTGTAGTAAAAAAGTTGTACTATAGGGTGTCCTAGAAAGTATCAGCACACTTTCAACTCACCACCATTTCCGCCCCGATGATGTTTATCAGCTGTTCATCGATGTGTGTGGTTGTTTACATATTGCTCAACAAGTTTCTGTGTGCAAAGTGCATTCTTTTTTTTACAAAATCATCAAAATACGAGGCATTTCTTCGGAAAAGCGCAAACAGATCGTACACAAATTGTGCACTATTCCCATCCTATCAATAAAAAAGTTGGTGAAAATGGAGAAAGTAAGTATCGGAGCAGTCCGAAGAAGTTACCTTTGAGGACACACCGAAATCTGGCCATAAACCGGGATCGGAGAACCGAAAACTGATCCGGAAGATTTTCCATGCTTCCGTCAATAAGAAAAAATGCCTCTGTTCGAGATTTGGCCCCAATAAACTAAGAACATCGAAGAGTAACGTCCAACGTGCAAAGGCAAGAAACGGGCTGAAAACGTTCAAGAAGCAGAATAATCTGAAATGGAGTCAGAAGCACGTTGCATCCGTCAAACCAAGGGCTCGGAATCTATATGATAGCCTGCTGTGTGGAAAATTGGCGTGTGTTATCATAGATGAAGAAATATACGGAAAATGTTACTACAAGAAGCTTCCGGGACAATACTACACAGTCCGTAATGGTCAGGAAGTTGACGATGTTGATAAGTCAATTTTACCAAAAATGTTGATAAGAAGGCCATGGTTTGGCAAGCGATGTGTAAGTATGGCTAGTTTTCAAAGCTATTTGTGACGAAGGAGACAATTGACACTGAAATTTAAGTTCGGGAGTGTTTAAATCAGCGTCTGTGGCCCATGATCCGTCAACATGATGGCTCAGTACTATTTTGGCCTGATTTGGCGTTAATGCACAACTCGATAGAGACGGTTGCTTGGTACAAAGCATACAATGAAATGACCAATACGTGACAAAAGAGATGAATCCTCCGAATTGTCCGGATGCCCGGCCAATCGAAACTTTTTGGGCCCTTTCCAAGGGATATCTGCGAGAACACTTTAAGACAGCGAAATCGATCGAGGAATTTGAAAAATACTGGACAAAACTGGTCAAAATTATCGCCAAGGAAAAAAAATCACATTTTTCTTACTTTAAATCAATCCCGAGAAACAACTGGTTTTATATGTTTGGATTCTAAGTGGACCAGCCTTTACTCTTATTTGATTATCGTAAACAAAATCAACATGCATCAAACAGAGGATGATATTGGCGTTGACGAGAGCTCTGTAACTCTTTACTGCTATGGGGAAATTGCATGTGTGACTGTCAGTTTATGTGTGAAACATAGCGTGCTTTTTTCTTATTCTCTCACTTCCTCACCAAATCCTATAAGAAACTGTCAAAATTCGTGTGAAAAATCGGCGAATTACAAGCTTTGGATGAGGTAGCTCTAATATCATGTTAACAAAACTCACCAATTACAATTCTCACCAAACGTGGTGAGTTTGAGCTTCAAGATATTTGTTGTACACTCGAACATGAACCGAAACTTCCATCACTGCTGGCAGTAGTAACTTCGTGTCTGTCATCTGTGAAGAGTAAAAAGAGATTGCAAACTATAATTTCTCTTTCTATGAAAACGATATACAACGGAATCATTTTTGTGCTGAGTTAACTCGTAGGAGTAATTTTACATGTTGTGAATAACCTCGCAATATCAGAGGAGTTTGTAAAATCAATACCTTACTTGATATTTTATTCCAATTTACGAGTGATTATTTCGAGTCCTTGAGAGCGAAAACAAAATTTGAGTGAAGATTATGCCATTACTGTCTACAACAGAAGATTCGCAAAGGGGATGCTTTTTCGATTTCTGAAATTTAAGTGCTTAGTTTAAGCTTTATTGAAGTCATAAATAAAAGACAAATATTAAACAATAACAAGCTAATTTCTATAAGGGGCCAACCTCCCAATGAGTGTAAGATCCATATGGCTGATCTAACAGCTTCATATCAGTGATGCAAAATATCATGGCACTCACTCGACACTCGGCAACGCATCAACCGACAATCGCTGACAGAACGTTTTGTCATGGCAAACAACAATCACAAGTAATGGTCGCTGCTCACAGGCAAAACGTAACACTCGCTGCTGATGATGTAAAGCACAACGAAAAAAATGAAGACTCCTGCAGTACGATGATGAGAAAAAGCGAAACGACAGAAGAAAATGAAAACAATGCCTACGAGTTCCAAGTTCGTCTCGGCACGCGCGACTGCGTGAGTTACAAACAATGCTGGCAAAATTAAGTGGAAGCTGCTGGGCTACTCACCATTACACTCACATAAGCAAGCAAAGCAGCAACTGGTTCAAAACGAGCACAGATGAGTGTCGTGATTGTCGGGAACGACCCGATCGGTGATAGATCACCACCGAAGGCGACATTCACCAATTGCTTTTTACTTCTTTCGTCAACTTGATGGATGGTCATTGGTCATGGAGAGTGCTGCGACAAGCACATTGATAGGAATGAACTAAGCTTTACTACCATCAGCTGTTTGACGATCGGGATTGTAATAGGTCGCAACTCTGGATCAAACAGCAAATCATCATAAGTCTTCACACTGTTAGAACCATTTCGGACAGTAAAAATAAGTAGTAATTGAACTCGAAATTATGCCACAAAGGATTGGAGCTCAATCATCATTAAGATTAAGGTACCACCACACATAACTAATAACAAAACTCTACCGCCAAACTGCATTGAGGTTGAAGCCCTGAACAACAACAGAAATACTTACATTGTCTTCTTATCTATATTCTGGACCTCTTCTGTTTTTTTTTTTCAGCCAAGAACATGAATTTTACTTTAATCACACGCTTGGGTTGTACCTTAGATTCATTTTTATTTCAGATAAGGAACACAAACCAAACAGAAAGATCATTAAAAGTGAACCAGTGTTCAGAGCACCATTCAACCCTGTTCCATTCGCAATAGATAAGAACTGGTAGAATCTGTAGCGCCGTGTAGGCAACCTTCCAAGAAGCTCAGACACCGAAACAGTCGCATCCAGTGAAAGCTGACCATTATTGACGTGAAATGAATGCTTCTTGCCATGTTATCACTTGTTACTGTCTGTTTTCGATATCAATTTTGGAGAAGTAGAATGTTCGTCATTTTCTTTTCACAAACCACAGTCGTTAGTCATTATCGGAAGTTTGTACCAAGTCAATGTGTGGCGGGTAGTCGTAATTAGAATGTTTTCAAACCACTTGAGGAGCAGTTTTGTGCTGGTGCTTGTATTGGTCTTCCTACCGATAAGTTTGAATGCCGCGGATGCGATTTGCGAACGGATTGACTTTAACGATTTCACGTCCTACAAGATTCGACAATGCTCGGAGGGTGGAAAGGAAATAATGCGTCTGTCTGCCTACGTGGGATCCTCCAAATTTGAACCATACAGAGAGAATGTGCAATACTTCTTGTCGAATGTTGGTCCCGGTGTTAGTTGTATCGAATCGATTGACAGTTTCTTTGTGAATTCCTTTACGGAACTACGGATGATGTATCAGTTCTTGTTTAAAACGGAGTCCACGCTTACGATAAGGATTCTGGATTTGGATCAACTCGATAGACAAGGAAGGCCAATAATTGCCCAAGTTTGGACAACGCGTCAGCCCACGAGGACGTGGAGTTTGTTTGCGGGCCGAGTGGATAAAGAAGTCAAAAAAGCTAGGTTGCAGCTTGAGGTTGAAATGAGCGACGATGGAGACGTTGCATTTGAATATATGACGGTGTTTAATCCGTTGGTTGTGGAGGAATTTTGTATGAAGCTAGATGAATTTTATACGCCACGACCATCGAGTACGACTGCACGGTCAACTACGCCTGAACCCACAACTACAACTCAACGCTCAACTACAGCTCTACGGACAACAACAATTCAACGTACAACTACAACTCCACGCTCAACTACGACTACGGTAGCTACAACTGTTCCTTTAACCACGAGACGAACAAGAACAACAAGTAGAACGACACTGTCAACTACAACTGAACCACCAACCACTACCACAGCTACAACTACGACTACGGTAGCTACAACAATTCCTTTAACCACACCAATTACTACGAGGCGAACAAGAACAACAAGTAGAACGACATTGTCAACTACAACTGAACCGCCAACCACTACAACAGCTACAACTACGACAACAGTAGCTACAACTTTTCCTTTAACCACAGCAATTACTACGAGGCGAACAAGTAGAACGACATTGTCAACTACAACTGAACCGCCAACCACTACAACAGATACAACTACGACTACGGTAGCTACAACTATTCCTTTAACCACAGCAAGTACTACGAGGCGAACAAGAACAACAAGTAGAACGACATTGTCAACTACAACTGAACCGCCAACCACTACAACAGCTACAACTACGACTACAGTAGCTACAACTTTTCCGTTAACCACACCAAATACTACGAGGCGAACAAGTAGAACGACATTGTCAACTACAACTGAACCGCCAACCACTACAACAGATACAACTACGACTACGGTAGCTACAACTATTCCTCTAACCACAGCAAGTACTACAAGGCAAACAAGTAGAACGACACTGTCAACTACAACTGAACCGCCAACCACTACAACAGCTACAACTACCACTACCACAAGTCGAACGACGACTACGACGGAAGCTACAACTACTGCCCCTGTTAGTTCCACAACTGCAACCCAGATCAGATCAACAACTACAATTCCAACCACATTCACAACTATGCCCTCAACCACCACTACAACACCCAGTACAACGGCTTCTACCACTCAAACCATCACGATTGGAACTCCTACAACTACATCCCCAACAACAGTAACAACAACAACAGCACCAACAACAACACCAACAACAACAACATCAACAACAACATCAACAAAAACGGCACCATCAACAACACCTGTAGCTACTACGACGCCAAGAACCACTACTACAAGCACATCGAGTTCTACAACACCTCCGGTAGAGACTACAACTACCTCAACAGCTGATACTACATCAAGTGTTCCCCAAACCGTATCTCTGGTAACAACTACTACAGTAACCGCTACACCTAGCACAATTACTATAACCAGGACTAGTCCTAGGACCACTCCCAGCACAAGAACAACATCAACGCCCAGTACTTCAACGTTTGAAACTTCCACTGTGATCCCTGAAACAACGGCTCAATCGACCAGATCCTCAACAACAACTCGTCGTACTACAAGGCAAAGTACAACTGTTCCAGTTACTACCACACCAGCGATTGATGAAACAACTGAAAAGCTTCAATCGCAGAATTCCACTACTGATACATCTTCCACCCGTCGTACCAGAACAACTAGTAAAACCTCTACAACCAGAAGAACTACGGAGTTCGTAGCAGAACTAAGTTCTACACCTCAATTGCAGTCTACCACCTCGGAAACTGCTCTTACAACCGCTTCACCATCAACTACTTCGACTATTCCCCGAAGTACTACTGCACGAGCTACAACAATTCAGTCAACTCAACTTCCAACAACGCGAGCATCTACCATCAACCCTCCTACAACAACGCAGACTACACTCGCAACCATTCTTCCTGATACGTCTTCGTCAACTGCGCCGTTAACCACAGCCAACCCCCCTTCCACGATTCGACCTTTTCCATCCCGACCGTTCGACCCTTCAAATCTTTTTTCCGAGAAAGACTACTACGACGAATCCAGTGCCATATGGCTCTCGCTAACTGGCGTTTTCCTAGTCCTACTAGTGTTGGCCTCGGCATTCGGGCTGTACCTGTACGTCAGCTGTAAACAGATCTCCCATATCGTTGCCAGAGAGCTCGAACTCGGCGAAGAACCGCCCAGTCAAATTTCCAGAACCATCAACCACTACGTGAACCCGCTCGCTCAGCAAACCTACCAACGGCAACGACAGCGCCAGGAGCAAATGCGACAACAGAATTTCCGACCACGACCGCCGCCTCGTGATAGTCCACCATTGTCCACCAGTGATAACAGTAGCTATTTGGAGAACACCAGGCGGATCACCCAACAGCCCATTATTCCTCCATCGGTGACTGCGAGACCGTTCTCTATGGCAGAAGAAATCCGAAAAGCTAAGCTCAAGAATCGGCTCAATAAATTTTAACGCCCATCAAAATGAGTTTGTTTTTCTTAGAAATCATCAGGGGAAGAGGTGAGCGGAGATTATGTTTTGAGCCAAATGAACTATCAAAATCTGAGCCAATAGAGTCAATCAGTGGCAACTTACGATTTAAAATTGGCTCACTACTTGACTAGCCTATTGGTCTCAATCAAAACGATTACCGTTCTCCATTCTAGTCGAAATTCTAGTACTACCCTATGTTTGTTTTGTTTCGCTATGGAAGTTTGACAGATAAAATGAGGGGTTCGTGGATTTTCTTATGTTTCGAGGGGTGCATCGATTAGCTTGGGACCGAAGAGAGTACCAGAGCTGAGCCAAAAAGTTGAGCAAGTTTCTCGGGGACCTTCTGGTCTTAGAGTTACCTCTATGGTTATAGCGCCTACTCAATTTTGAGTTGTTGTCATTCACTCGGATGTAAACAGGGTTACTTACTTTTAAGTTGTTTTCACTCAACGGTAAGTTTAAACTACTCAAAATTGAGTTTTACACAATTTACTCAATTTTAACTTGGCGCACGGAACTGTCCAGTTGGGTGAATAGAACTCAATTTTGGGTTGTTTTGCTCTTATCGTTTTTGACAACAACAAGAGAGCAAGTGAGAGACATCAACATTGTAGCAGTAAGTTTAAAGAACTTAACCGTTGGGTAGTTTTGGTTCTCCGTGTAGGCACAAAGTGTAGGTGTAGCTCTCTCGCATACTTTTTTTTTTTTGCTTTTACTGATATGTTTTTGGCACATTTTGGTTTACGGTTGTACAGTTGTTTAGTAGCTCTATTGGCTTATGGTCACTAAAACCCCGTATTTCATTTCTGATTTTGAATTTGTGTCAACATTTCTATAATTTCAAGGTGAGCTAGAGTGGTGTTCGAAGAATCGACTCCCTTTGATGAGCTGGACGGGTCTGATCCGCTCAGCCAGATAAGCTATTTTGCCCAACTCCAGATGGAACATAGTTTAATCGATGCTTTGTTGGCTGGGTGGTAAGTTCTATATACACTGAAATAAATTAAACTCCTACTTCCATTGAAAACTTAAATAATCGTGCAATAAAGGGTGATACGGTCAAAATTTGGTCAATATCAATTTGACGTATTTCTTTCAATTTTGCATTTAAAAAACCTGAACATCCCTCATTTTGAAGGTGTGTGTGTGTAGAATGTTGCTCCTATTTTGATTTTGGAATTCACTCTTCAGTTGTCAAAATGCCGTCCAAGCAAGAAGAGCAGCGTATCAAAATTTTGCTCGCGCATCGCGAAAATCCGAGCTACTCGCACGCAAAGTTGGCAAAATCGTCAAAAGTTGCCAAATCAACCGTTACAAATGTAATTAAAGTGTTTGGGGAACGTTTGTCGACAGCCAGGAAGTCTGGATCGGGGGGAAATCGAAAACCGGAAGCCGCTGAGACGACAAAGAGAGTTGCCGGTAGTTTCAAGCGAAACCCTAACCTCTCTCTCCGAGATGCCGCAAATAAGCTGGGTGTATCATCTACAACCGTGCATCGAGCCAAAAAACGAGCCGGACTATCGACTTACAAGAAGGTAGTGACTCCAAATCGCGATGATAAACAAAATACGACGGCCAAAGCGCGATCCCGGAGGCTGTACACGACGATGCTGACGAAGTTTGACTGCGTGGTAATGAACGACGAAACCTACGTCAAAGCCGACTACAAGCAGCTTCCAGGACAGGAGTTTTATACGGCAAAAGGAAGGGGAAAGGTAGCAGATGTTTTCAAGCACATGAAACTGTCAAAGTTCGCAAAGAAATATCTGGTTTGGCAAGCCATCTGTACCTGTGGCTTGAAAAGCAGCATTTTCATAGCTTCCGGGACTGTCAACCAAGAAATTTACGTGAAAGAGTGTTTGAATAAACGTCTGCTGCCTTTCCTGAAGAAACACGGTTGTTCCGTACTGTTTTGGCCGGATTTGGCATCTTGCCATTACGGTAAAAAGGCCATGGAGTGGTACGCCGCCAACAACGTGCAGGTGGTTCCCAAGGACAAGAACCCTCCCAACACGCCAGAGCTCCGCCCAATTGAGAAATACTGGGCTATTGTTAAGCGGAACCTAAAGAAGACCAAAAAAACTGCTAAGGGCGAGCAGCAGTTCAAGGCAAACTGGCTTTCTGCGGCGAAGAAGGTGGACAAGGTGGCTGTACAAAATCTGATGGCAGGGGTCAAGCGTAAGGCCCGGCAATTCGGATTTGGAAAAGCGGAAGCCTAACTGAATATTTTTCCTGAATTTTATACTAATTGAACTTGAAAAAGAAATTTAATTTGATTTTTTAAATAAACGATTTCACCGATTTACACGCGTTTTCCCTTGACCAAATTTTGACCGTATCACCCTTTAATCATAGCCAATTAATCGATTAGCAGATAATCGAGGCATTGAATAATCAATTAAAAATTAGTCGATTATTTTAACAGATAATCGATTAGCTCGATTAATCGAGTAGTAATCGGACATCACTGGCCACGTGGAGTGACGGTATGAAAAGTGTGACAAGAAGAACAATGCTGCGGACGGTTCAATGTCTTACCGCATTTGTGGAATGAGGTGGGGCTCCGTCCTGTTGAAACACCAGGCTCCGTCTCACAGCAAGTTGGACATCCTCCAGCAGGATTAGAAGCTCGTTTTCGTTACTTCGCGCTGTTTAGCGAACCTTCGATAATGTAAGGATGAGCTTTGCTGGTGGCAATATTAGTTCAGAACTGTCTCACTACGCAGTACTAGTGTGCACATGAGCTTCATGTATAAGCTGTATCTCAAAATCCTGGTTACTGTATTCAGCAAAGTTGTTCAGGTTATCTTTAATTAGGTCAGATAAACCTCACTACGCAGCGCGAGTGTGCATGTGTGCAACTTCCTATATAAACTGCATCTCGAGAGCCTCGCCATATAGAAAGTCGTTGGCTTCAGCAAATTGGTGCAGGTAACCAAGCCCTTTCGGATGATGGTCATATTATTTCAGAACACTCCCACTACGCGGCGCTGGTGTGCAAGTGATCTTCCTGTATAAACTGTATCTCGAGAACCTGGCCATATAGAAAGTTGCTGCTTCAGCAAAATTGTTCATGCACTTCCTTGATTTTTCTTCCTTGATTTGTTTTCCGTCGATCTTGTTTTCCGTGCTGAGCACCAATGCTACCGACGGAGGCAGCTCCCACACACCTGGACTCTTCGAATCGACCCATCAACTCAGGAACCGGGAACCAACGCTTTACTTCAGAAAGGCGTGATCAGAAATGTTATGCCTCATAACATCCCGGTGGTGCCGACTGGGATTGAACCCAGGTCTTCTGGGGTGAGAGGCAATCACACTTACCACTACACCACTGGCGCCGCTATATAAGATGTTGTTGTGCAATGTGACAACAGGAACCGGAAAAAGGATGGTGTGTAGAGGCTTGAAATCGATTTCTGACGCCATTTTCAAATCCGGGATGGTGATCATCGATTCAAGAAAAAATGTCAATTACTCTACAATATGCACGGGAACAAATCCAATCTCCGAAATGAGGAAAATGACTCATGCTTTCATGAACATAGCGTATTTTCATTGGATGAAAATAAACTATGAATAATATTCATGATATCATGAGCTATTTTAGCGTGACGCAGCCAATATTCCCGAAATCATAAATCATCCGAGTTGAAGTCATGAGCTTAATTCAGCTTACCCTTAAACCAAACCATGTAAAAAATAAAATAAAACCTCAGACTGGATTGGAACGAAGAATTTTGCGATCATTAAACCCATACTTTGACCACTAGACTTTGATAGCGACTTGCTTAAGGCCCCCGTCTGGAAGTATTATTGATATTATTCCCTTGCTGGGATTTTTTAGAACATCTGGGAAAACCCGCAAAAATGAGCTAGAAAAATAAGCTAATCGAAAAATCGAAGCACACTACGTTCTAGCATAACTTTCTGGCAACATGATAGTTGGAAAATTTTTGGGAAAATCCAACCCACAAAAAAACTGGGTTGTTTTTCCGACATGAAGACCACCCAATTCCGGCCACGTGATTGCAAATGTGTAAACACCATGTTCTATCTTTCCCCTCTGATAGCTCGTGATCTTTATTCTAAAGTACATGATAATTATATACTAGAAGATTCGTGAGAATGTCAGGAATCTTTTGGTGTACTTCAAAGTACAATTTTCCGACTTTCCTCGCATCGTTTTTCCATTTTCATTTCATGCATACCGTTTTCCCGTTGTACCGGTACATGGCGAACAAGGCATGGGAAAGAAAAAAAAAATGTACTAAACACGAATTCTCGCGAGGAGCTTTCGGCTCACATGATTTTTACGGACGGCTGACTAAAGCATGCGAATAGTGGTGTCGTATGTTTAGCAAAAAATAATTCAAGTTGTTGATAATGAAAAAGGTCATCAAGAAATAAAATGCCTTTCCCTACATCCTCCATTTCACCCTGAATGACAAAGTGTCACATTCAAAACGTCATATGGTATAATTGCCAATACCTCAAAAAGCTCCGCGATGCGGACAGAGTCCCTATTGACGGTGTGATTTGTTGTAAGAATCACCGAGCTGATTCAATTAATAATTACGATATTACAGCCGCACAGCAAAAAAATAATTTTGATATCACGTCAAAGTGGATGCACTACAATCATGTCGAAAATATGGTGTAATATTACTTGCTAAAAAGGACAAAATTATCATTAATACAATGCATGAACTGACATTACGCTGCTTTTACTGCATTTGTTTATTTATGTGGTCATAAAAATTTCATGAAATTTTCGACATGATTGTAGTGCATCCACTTTGATGTGATATCAAAATTATTTTTTTGCTGTGCGATAATGACAAGACTTTGCTATGATGTATTCTGAAACTTTGCATAACTTATATCAGCAGAAAAAAAAATGCATCAGTTAGTTACAACATAGGCAATTGCTTTATTGCAAATGACAGTAACGTTTATTGATAAAGTGAAAACATTTC